AATCAGATTCGATTCATTATTCACTTCATGTAATTAATTCATTTAATTAAAAATCTTTGAAATTTAATTTGTAATTAATTCCAATGGGAATAAAATTAAAAGCAATTTAATGTTATTTTAGAGATCATAACCTACTCATTTTAAAGTAATTTAATGAGATTGGATTTTGATGATTCAGAAAATAAACTGGCCTTTTAAAACAAAATAGTTTAATGCCAAAATATGATGGTAGGTTTATATATATTTAAGTAATTTAACGTAAAGTAATTTATTGCGGCCTTCAATTTAGATATGAAAAATATGTTCTATGCGTACGTGTTACTTTTTTTTTTTTGGAAATTGCGTACGTGTTACTTGAATCAGTGAATATGTGGAAATTGAATGTTATTTTAGAAATCATAACCTCTCATTTTAAAGTGTAATTTAAGGAGATTGGGTTTTGATGACTAAGAAAATAAACTTGCTATTAAAAAAATAATCTTTTCCAAAAATAATAATAATCTAATGCCACAATATGATTGTAAGTTTAAATACATTTAAGTAATTTAATGCGGTCTTCAATTTAGATATGAAAAATATGTTCTATGGATGTTACTTGAATCAATGAATATGCCGATCCTTATACGTAGAAGATACAAGGTAGTCGGAGTAAAAAAATTTTTACTAGGAAAATGTAATTAATAGAGATTTGGTTGGAAAGTGAGTTTGGTAGGAAGATGTAAAAAAGTTGTTTGATTGACCCAAATATTACTAGAAAAATTTATTTAAATATGCAAAATCTATGTTCGGGAGGAACTTTGTACCTGTTTTTTCACTCCCCAAGTTATCTCAAAATACCACATCTCAAGTAGTATTCTGTAACAGTGAATTTCATCCAAAAATTAACACAAAAGTCATTTTCATATCTATCCTATTTGCCTGGTATTTTTTGAAAAAACCTGAACCAAATGTGGTATTTTCCAATATCCACTTACACTTTTCTATCAATTCCAAAATAAACCTTCAACCAAACACTATATGAGGTTTTCCATTATAAAAAATTAGAGATGATCTCTGTGGATGTCATAGAATGATAAGAATAATTATACGAGATTAAGGAAATAATAAGAATCATATGAGATCATGATGATGATAACAAGATATAATTAATACTTATTCATGATCGAATTAAGAGAATTTTTAACATTCAATTAAGAGGTTTTATTTATTTTTTACTATCAAATATATTATAAGATGGATTGTTTTATGAGATTGGATCATCTCACGTCTTTTTTTCTTTTTTAACATCATCATACTATGTGGAAGACCCCATCCATTCATTCACATATCGACTGTCAAAATTCAACGGGTCAAGAATAATGTATCCCAGTGTTCAAAAGAAAAAGTATACTGTATCCTCCCGTTATCAGTTGAATCCTAAATTCATAAGAATTATTATATTTTTTTCTTCATATTAAATTAAAGTTTATAAATTTGTTAATATTAATTTTTATATTTATTTTCACATTGACACATTATTTTCTTTGTTCGTATATTCTGAAATTTACAAGGTTTTTTAAGTATCATTATCTTAATTTTTTTAAAAAATTTGTTATCATTAATTTTGATTATTTTTCTTTATTAATTTTTTTGTGTTGACACACATCACATATGATTATGTTAAAAAATGGGATGTTAGAGTTGTAGAAATCCTTTTTAATTACATTATTTTCCTTTTTATTAAATTCAGGTACCACTGATTTATATAATTTGTAATGAAAAATTAAATAAACAAAATACTGACACGTGTTATTTTGTTGGAAAAAAAAATAAAAGAAGTAAGTCATTCTCAAATAAAAACATTTGAACTGAATAACATAAGAAGAAAAAAAGAAAGATATGCTATTAATGTAATATTGATCGGGAGGTGTGGAAACGAAATATATGCTTTAAACACGCCGCGGTCCCTGAAATAATTATGGTAAGTCGGTGAGAATTCAAAAAAATATTTGAATATGAAGAGAAATAGTGAAAAAATTCAATTGATTTTGAATGATAGTAAGTATTATTATATGAGATAGTTAATATTATTATATGAGATATGTTATTCTATCTATCTTTTTTTGTTTATCTTTATCTATCACTCTAAAATATTATTAGATCATATTCTTAATTAACTTTTATTTTTTTATCTTCTTTTGAGTTAGAATAAAATATAAACTATGATGAGTTAGTTGGAACGAAATTTACGTTGCCATTAATTCCGATGAGAATAAAATTAAAAGGGATTTTATGTTATTTTAGGAATCATAACCTCTCACTTTAAAGTAATTTAATGAGATTGAATTTTGACGATTTAGAAAATGAACTGGCTATTAAAATAAAGTAATTTAATACCAAAATATGATTATTTTCGTTTGATTGTAGGTTTAAATACTTTAAGTAATTTAACGTAAAATAGTTCAATGCGGCTTTCAATTTAGATGGGAAAAATATGATCTATGAATGTTAGTTGAATCAATGGATATATGGATTCTTCATCTTTTTTTATGAGAATCAAATAATTGCTAAAGATGATTTATTTGTGCATTCTAGTGCAAGAAAGGTGATGATGCACTCGAGAACTTGACCTCAATATACACTGAAAATAATAGGTTTTTCATTATAAAAAATAGAGATGACATGCGAATAAAGACCAACATAATTGAATAAGGATTTGGTTCATACTTTGTAAAGGTGTGAGTTCAAATTTCATTGACCAGTGAGAGAATTTTGTTGATAGATAATATATATTTTCTTTCGAAAATTTAGAGGGTCTTCCCTGACCGTGTGAGATATTTGTTGTTTAACCTTACTTAAATTTTGATATATAAAAAAAAAATAGAAATGACGTTTGTGAAGGCCACGTAACGATAAGAATTATATGAGATAATGGAAATAATAAGAATCATATGAGATCATGATAACGATATAAAAATACAAGTAATCATAACAATTATGTATTCTGTGCTCATTGGATATAATGATTATGTATTTCTATACGAGTAATCATTATGATTATGCATTCATTGTTGTTGTGGATCCAATATTATGGCCCATAACAAGATATAATACTTATTCATGACCAAATTAAGAGAATCTTTTAAATTAATTTAGGAGATTTTATTTATTTTTTACTATCAAAGATATTGCAAGATGTATTATTTTATGGGATTGCATTATCTCCGTCTCTTTTTATTTTTTTACATCATCATACTGTGTGGGAGATCTCATCCATTTATTCACATACCAACTATCAAAATTTAATAGGTTGTATACTGTATCCCATTATAAGTTGAATCCTAAATTCATAAGAATTATTATATTTTTTCTTTATAATAAATTAAATTTTATAAATTTGTTAATATTAATTTTTTTTCACACTGACACATTGTTTTCTTTGTTCATATACTTTGAAACTTACAAGTTATTCTAGTGCTTGTTCGGATCCTCTATCTTTTTAAGCTGAAAGCTACTTATAACTTATAAATAGAAGCTAGGTCAAACAGGCTTTGAGAAAAATTCTTATAATGAACCGTTCTTTTTTTTTAAGCCTATTTGGATTATCTCTTTTTAAGCTAAAGCTAAAAAAAATAGCTTAAAAAATAACTAAAAGTTATCTGGTAATTACATAAAAATTTTAGCTTACACATATAACTCTTCATTTTAAAATAAAACACACAATTCAAGAAAATCAGATAAAAACTTAAAGAAACTTCTCCTAGGAACTTTTAGCTTCTTCTTTTTTTCATTATAACAAAACAAATTTTTTATTATAAGAGTTTTTCTCAAAACTTATTTGATCTAGCTTATGCTTATAAGTAGTTTTTAGCTTAAAAAAGAGATAATTCAAACAGACATTTATAATAAAGAAAAAAGCTAAAAGTCAAAAACTCCTACGAGAAGCTTTTTTTTTTTTAAGTTTTTATTAACTATTTTTGAATTGTGTATTTTTTTAAAGAAGAGCTATAGGGTTAGAGTTAGAGAGGGAGAGAGAAATTTACTGAAATATGTGATTTTAAGTAAATTTTAAATTTAAATTTTATTTAATCACCAAATGACTTTTAATTTTTTTTAACTATTTTTTTAGCATTAGCTTATTAGTAGCTTCTATCTTAAAAAAGAGATGATCCAAACAAATTCTTAGTATGATTATCTTTTTTTTTTTTTTTTTTTTTTTTTTTTAACTTTGTAAGCATTAAATTTGATTAATTGTTTTTATTAATTTTTTGTGTTGACAAACATCGCATATAATTATGCCAAAAAAATGGGATGTTAAATTTGTAGAAATCCTTTTAATTACATTGTATTCCTTTTTAATAAAGTCAGGCACCATTGATATATAAGATGTAATGAAATTTTAAATAAACAAAATAAATAACCGTGACGCGTGGTATTTTGTTGGAAAAAAGTTAAAAAAAGTAAGTCATTCTCAAATAAAAACATTTGAATTGAATGACATAAGAGAGAAAAAAGAAAGTAAGATATTTTATTAATGTAACATTGAGTGGGATTTGGGAGTTGTGGAAACTAAAACATGCTTTAAACACGGGGCGGTCCATGAAAATGAAATAATAATGGTAAGTCGGTAAGAAATAAATAAATAAATAAAAAGATTTGAATTTAGTAATATTATATAGTATATAGGCGTGGGGGATGAGTTAGTTGCAGAACAGAAATAGGAAGCAGTGGCGGGAGGGAAGGAGTTAGGATTTGCAAACACAAAAACAAAAACATAACATAACAAAACAGTATCACTTTGCGGCCACCCGATTAGATCGGAAGAAAGCCCATTTCATTAGTTTCACGAGAAAGCTGCTTAGCCCACCCAATTACTTATTTACCCCTTTCTCTTTCTCTTTCTCTCTTTCTCTTCTCTCTTCTCTTCGTGACGACGAGTCTCTCTCTCTCTCTGCTCTCTGTGCTCTCTCTACTCTCTCTTTTTGTATTGTATTGTCATCAATCAATCAATCAATCAAAAAATGAAGGATAAGGAGAAAGAAAAGGAAACCGAGAAGAAGAAGTACCCCATTGGACCCGAACATTACCTTCTCTATGAAGAGATTGGACAGGGTGTTAGTGCTTCTGTTCACCGCGCTCTCTGTCTCCCCTTCAACGAGGTCGTCGCCATCAAAATCCTCGATTTTGAACGTGACAATTGTGATCTGGTATGCTATGCTATGCTATCCTATTAATCGCATTCCATTCAATCATAATTAAATAGACAATTAAGCTAATAATATATATATATATATATATATATATATATATATATATATATATATATATATATATATATATATGATGATGATGATGATATACTCACGCGCGCACGCAACGCACGCAGAATAATGTTTCTCGTGAAGCCCAAACAATGATCCTGGTGGACCACCCTAACGTCCTGAAATCACACTGCTCCTTCGTCAGCGACCATAATCTGTGGGTTGTGATGCCATTCATGGCCGGCGGTTCATGCCTTCACATATTGAAAGCCGAACATCCTGATGGTTTTGAGGAGGTTGTTATAGCAACCGTTCTCAGAGAGGTCTTGAAGGGTTTAGAGTATCTTCATCATCATGGCCACATCCACAGAGACGTCAAGGCTGGCAACATTCTCCTCGATTCACGCGGTGCTATCAAGCTTGGCGATTTTGGTGTTTCTGCTTGCCTTTTTGATTCTGGTGACAGGCAACGCACCAGGAATACATTTGTCGGAACACCTTGCTGGTACATATCTATATCTATATATATCGATCATCATATAAATTCATGATCTTATCATCAATCTTAATTATGCAATAACTTGTATGTGTGTGTCTCTGTGTGTGTGTGTGATCCTTCATTACAGGATGGCACCCGAGGTCATGGAGCAATTGCATGGTTATAACTTCAAGTCTGTCCTGTTTCTTTTATAAATTATAATTAAATTTTATCTTCTCCGCTTAGTTATTTATCCTCTCGTGTCATGTTAACATTCACTCCAACATCTTCCAGAGCTGACATCTGGTCGTTTGGTATAACTGCATTGGAGCTTGCCCATGGTCATGCTCCTTTCTCAAAGTTCCCACCCATGAAGGTTTGCATATATATATTAATCAAAGACAACACTGACTGACATGTTATGTTATCTCATTCAACCATCTTCCTTGTTACTAAGACTTTAATTTCATAATTAAACTGCCCAGGTACTGCTTATGACTTTGCAAAATGCACCCCCTGGCCTTGACTACGAAAGGGATAGGAAGTTCTCTAAGGTTAGCTCAGCTCAGCTCAGCTCTCAATGAACATGCTTAATTTCAGCATTAATTGATTACTCCCATAATTCAATTCTTTTATTCCTAATATCTTTCTTTCTTTTTTCCAGTCATTTAAGCAGATGATTGCTAGTTGCTTAGTAAAAGATCCTTCAAAGCGACCCTCTGCAGGCAAGTTGTTAAAGCATTCCTTCTTTAAGCAGGCTCGCTCCAGTGATTATATTTTACGAACACTTTTGGAGGGGCTGCCTGCTTTAGGTGATCGGGTGGAGGCTATAAAGGTTCCATATTATTACCACAAATTCCCTTCCGCCCTGTTATGGTATAAAAATATATTTATAAGGCGGTTTTTTTATCACAGAGAAAAGAAGAAGATATGCTTGCACAAAAGAAAATGCCTGATGGGAAGATGGAGGAATTATCACAGGTAGAATTGCTATGCCTAATTGCTTGGAGTAACTGCAGTTTGTTGCATGCACCAGAAAGTTATGCCCCTTGCTTTCTAAATCTTATTATTTTCTCTCGATATACACTGCTTAAATTCAACTTGTGCTGCATTTTGACATTAACAACATCACCGGTCCTCAACTTCCTTTCAGAAAAACTAGTATCGCTTTTCCCCTGTATACATTCTCAGCATGTGCCATATCACACCTTTCAAAAGTTTACCTATACCTATTTTGTCGGTCAATGTCAGGAAAACTCAAGTAGAGTCAGATAATGTCTCTGTTAGTATGTGTGTGAATGTGTATACACCAAAATGTGTTGTATTGGCATTGCAAGCTGAAGATGTGAGTGTATTTGGCAGTTAGCTTATCTTTTCTTTTTTTGTTATATTTTATTCTGGTTATTTTTCTTGTTGCTACCGATTTGATAGCAAGCTAATAACAGTATTGTGTTAATCCTCTATAGAATGAATACAAACGAGGAATTAGTGGCTGGAACTTCAATATTGAAGATATGAAGGCTCAGGCTTCCTTGGTACAAACAATGTCCAATCTTTTCTCCCTCACCATGAACATGCGACTCTTGAAATTATAGAATTTCTAAATAGAGTTTTTATTTCTTCCAGATCCACGATTTTGACGACGCTATATCGGATATCAACCACGTAGCAAGTTCAAGCTCTTTATCTGCACTTGATGCACAAGATAAGCAATTGCCAAGTGCAATTCATAACCCTTCTCCAACTGCTGATATGGTATTTATAAATTCGTTTTCTATATCTTAGGATTATATTTGCGGTATAGTCGGGCGGTTATATTTACTATTTAAAAGTTTTACAACTTTTACTACTTAACTAATTTTCTCGTCAATACAACGGTTATAATTTATTGGATACATTTATTAATTAATTATTAATTCCCAATAAATTATAACTGTTAGATTGACGGAAAACGGTAATTAATTTAGTAGTAAAAGTTATAAAACTTTTGAGTAGTAAGTATAATCCCTCCCTAGTTATAAACATATGTATTTTTCTTTCTTTCCTTTATCCTATTTTTCCTTATTAATAAAAAAAATTTAATTGTGGTAGTTCTAATGGTCAATGCTTCACAGGAAGATAATGGTGAGATGCAAAATCAACCAGCTTCAGTTGCAGTTGGTGATTCGACAGTAAATGATGCCAAGTATGTTTCTAACATGTATCTGACGTCAGATCTAGTAAATATCTACTTTTTGTGATACTCAAACTGTGAGAGCTTTTGAAACTTTAAGTGAATAACATCATGGGCTAATGCTTTTGTCTAAATGGCTTGGGATAGTTTCTTTTGAAATAAAGGATGCCTGTCTCCCCTGTGTGAGCTTTTGAGATTAGAAGTTTATAACATCATGGGCTATTGCTTTTGCCTAAATGGCTTGGGATCTTTTATTTTGAAATGAAGGATACATGTCTCTACAGTGTGAGCTTTTGAGATTATGAGGTTATAACATCATGGGTTAATGCTTTTGCTTAAATGGCTTGGGATCTTTTATTTTGAAATAAGGGATACCTATCCCTACAGTCCGGAAAAGGATTGATCAAGTTAATCCAATTATGATCATGTTTTGCCATTTCCAGGACTAGTATTGAAAAATCTGGAGATGTCTCTAGCATCACCAGTTCAAGCCATGAAGCACAAACTTCTTCGACCTATCTTGATGATCATGTGGAACATAATTTGGGGGAAAAATCTGATATGGAAAGTGGTGGAAGATCCATGGAGGGCATGGCTACCCATTCTCATCATAGAAGAGGATGCTCATCAAGCATCTTACCTGAAGCTACTGTTCCACCTATTCGACTAGAAAGGTGAATACTAAAATTATGCATTTAAGTTTATTTCCGAAAATGCCATTTACTTCTTGTATTAGTTACTGTCATCATGGGAGCTGGGCATTTGGGCTATGATTGTCAAGCCTGTCCTGGCTTGATCTGGATGTGTCCTTATTCAATCCCTCTGATAGGCCTTCCAGCATGGTCATCTCAATCATAAATTTGGGCTAGCTTCATTGGCCCACTTCCTAGGATTGGCTGAACCTGGATCTGAGGTTATACAGGCTTAATTTCAAGAGGATGGCCTACTTTATCTTTTTCCCACATTAACAAAGTCCATTTCATGCTATGTCATGTGTAAATGTGTAATGAACTGGGAACAAGATACTTTATCCATTCATATTCCATAATTAGTGCCAAACTATGCTGGTTAAATTGATATCTGTCATCGTGTTCTATGTTTACTTCATGACTATGTTTTAACGGTATTGATGGGTGATGACTCTTCAATTTCGCTAAATTTGAGTTTTCCTAGTTCTTCCCATTCTCTGGTACAACTTTGCTTTTGCAATTGAAAAGGGGAAAACAATTTCGTATATATTGAAAAAGGAGTGCTTAAAAATAGATGTGTGATTGGATAAACTATATTAACATGTGAAAGTATTATAGCCCAATATTATTTTAGTCCATTTAATTTTGCAAGTTAGTTTTTTTTATATTATTTTAGTTCATTTAATTTTGCAATTTAGTTTGCTAAATTAACGAGATTAATCAGTGGCATATGCTGGTTTATATCATCAATGGTACTATAATTTCCATGTTTTAGGTATACACTTTTTAGTTGCTAATTTGATATATATTATTCAAGTTGTAGAAGGCGTTTTGATTTAATTCAATGGATTTGAATACAATGATAGTACTTTATACAATATTTTTTCATATTATTTAGTTAATTTTTTTCCTTAATAGCAATGTAAAAAATAAAGAAAATTTCCCCCTACTCTCACTATTTGGAAAGACAGTTCCTTCTATTTTTAAGTTTTTGTGCTTTGAGTAATTATGGAATGTAGGACGAATGCTGTTTCCAATGTTCTTTCTCAGAGCTTCACCAAATGATTTTGAAATCTGATGTGAATACTTCCATTTTGATGATTGGAAAGAAGGGAGTCAAAGTAATTGCAGCTACAGACTTGTGATCATTCTCAATTAAACAAGTTAAATTTCACTTTCTCAGGAAGCATAGAATTCCTAATTGTCTTCGCTCAGTGGTCTTAGAACTATCTGAATTATGAAATGGAATGTCGTAAGGTTCTCAAGGGGCTTCTTTTTCAAATAGCATAAAGTAGGTTTACGGCTTCTTGTTTTATACCATACCATTTTTTCTCTTTATTAAAATAGGGAGAATATGTTTCTCGTGTAGAAACATATTTCCCTTTAAATAGATAACAAAATTTGTTGGGTTTTAGCGTAAGGCCGTAAACCAATATTAGGAATTGTAAGGAAGGCATAAACGTAAAAGGTGTTCGAATAACATGACGCGAAGCATGACATTCTATGTTTATTGTTATTTTTATTTGCATTTTCTCTACTATGATGCCCTTATTTATTCATTCAACCCTTTAAGCATCGTATTTTATCTATGATCAGCTTTAATATTTAGCAATATAAATGACAGTGAGAAGCTACAAAATCTGCCCCAGAACATTTCAAGTTGCAATGCAACTTCCGTTTCACAGACAGGAGAGGATGTGCTTACTGAACTTCCTTCTAGAATCTCAAAATCATCAGGTACCTGCTCATATTACTTCGTTTGTTCACATGCTTTGTTGTCAATTTCAAGGGAGCACCACGATATTTTTTAAATATTTATATTAAACTGACGAGTTCTTGAAGCCTGCTAGGATCACTCCTGCATTTCATTCTAATTAATCACTCTTGTAGCAGCTAATTCTGAAGACACTGATGAGAAAGCAAAGATACCAGTTGTTCAACAGAGAGGACGTTTTAAGGTTACATCTGAGAATGTTGACCCAGAAAAGGTGAGTGAGTAGTAACTCTATTACTGATCATTCTCCTTCCTGAAGACCGAATACTAAATGAAGTTTTCTTTCAGGTGGCCCCTACTCCTGTACTGCAAAAGAGTCACAGCATGCAGGTTTGTGGTTTTGAGGTTTGCATAACTGTTTCTTTTTCTTCCCTTACCAAAACAAAAAAACTAAAAAATAAAAATAAATAGATAAATAATAATAAATAAAAATAAAAAAGATACATGTTCCCTAGGGTTTTAGATTGTGGTTGTATTGCGGGTCTGCTGCCGATGCAGTCTGCAATCATGGCTTGACTCTGTTGCGGCAGCTACGCAACCGAGATGTTGTAGCTGCATCACCTGATGCGATCCACAACCAACCTTTTGATACTCAGTTGTAATTTGCTCTTGTGCATAGATTCGAAAGATGTTTTGACCGTATATTACAAAATAGTTAGACCCACGTTCAAATTGACATTTCTGACTTCCTTTCACTTTGTAGAGTATACGTCAAGGTCTCTCATTATGATCCCATTATAATTATTGTTGCTGTTGTTGTTTTTGTTATAATTATTGCATTAGGCCTGGGCCTTAATGGTGTTTAATTTGCTACTAACGTTGTCAGAAAGTGTTACTGCCTTTGCTTTATAGAAAGTGAAAGTTTTGCTATATGTCTAGTATTGAGTTAATTAGGTTATCCGTTTTTTGAATTATGGGTCTGTTATATACTAATATGAAGGTGGTTTAAACTTTAAAATCATGTAACTGTATCTGGCAGATATAACTCCCAATTTACTGAACATCTCATGGAAATGACATGGGTTATGTAGGTTTTTGGCCAGCATAATGCTGCTCCACTACCTTCACCTTTACCATTATTATCAGCATCTGATGCTGCAACATCAAATCTTTCTGGCTGTTCTCTGTTCCCTTTGCTGCACTCTCTGCTGCAGACAAATGTTATTCAAAGGGTATGTTCAGCCTTATGGTCGTGTCTCCTTCAACTAATATCCAAGTGTAACTGTTTTTTGTTCATGACTTTTTAACAGGAAAGCATTTTAAGTTTAATGAAGCAAATTACTACTGGTGACTCTACAGGTTTAACCATAAACACACTGTTTGAATATTTTGTTTTTGACCTTTTTTTCATTGCTTTCTATATATGCACATTTTTAATTTTTTATTTGTCAACCGTGCAGCTGATGGCACATGTACCCCCGCACAGATAGTAGCAATTGAGAAATCTTCAGTATGTGTTTATAGATCATAATTTTTATCATTGACAATAATTTTAATTTATTTTAGGATGTTCTATCAGAGAACCATGTACATTGGCTTCAGTATAAGAATGTTGGATAATAACAATGCCAACTGAGTTTGGTGGTTTTGAAATTTAAAATTCAATATTAAGGACTTCTCAAAAGTGAATTTGCATGGTTGGCATAGTTACATATGCAACAAACGTTCCATTTCGGTGTTTGACAAAGTTCTTAGTGAACAATTTGTCTAGTCCTCTTCGCTGGAAAAATTTTCAACTAAAACCTAGGGTAGGCGATTATTGCGGCCAGTTACTTCACTGTGCCTTTTGGTTCGCTAGAAGTCAATTGGCATGAAAGAAGGGGTGCTACTTCCAACCTTTCCTCTCTGAATATTGTTGATGATTGGTAATTGCAAAATGTTGGCAGAATAGTTATGGGTTGTGGAACTTTTTCCCGTAATCACAAATGCCCTTGTAATTAGCCAGGGAGTAAACTGAACTGTAAATGCAACAAGTTTGCTTGTGGAGTTGCTCTCTGTAGAGGCATTTGGTCTTTCTCTTTCTTTTAAATAAAATAAAATAAATTTATAGTTACTTGATTGACTTTGTATCTGCTTTTCCTTGCATTACTATAAAGGAAATATTGGTTATGCATTACTGCAGCTTGAAGCAGCTCACGATAGGGAGAAGGAGTTACTTCATGAGATAACTGAGTTGCAGTGGAGGTATTGTATTTTATATAGTTGTTGGATTATATGGTAATATCGGTGTATCTTAAACCTTGCTTTGTGACATGTATAGGCTCATATGTACCCAAGAGGAGCTTCAAAAATCGAAAACAGAAAACGCCCAGGTTAGTATCAACATATATTGTTCCCAATATTCGAGTATCATATTTTGGATTATGTATTTGACATTTTAACTTGTGAATCTTAGGTGTGATTGCCTTGTCGAAATAGATATTTGGATTTAGATTTCAGAAGTGATTCCGTTGTTTAAGTGGATGCTTGGATTCCTCAAATCTATTTCTTCATGGATACTTAAAAATTTAAAGTGCAAGTAGATGAGAGAATTGTGGCCAATGCAAAATCCATTGACTAGATTTGGAATGGTCTGCTACTTGTAGGGTTTTTCCCCTTATTATGTAGGTGATAAAAACTTTATCATAGTTCTTTGTTAATATAGATTTATTGTTGATAATTGTTTTTGTAAAATATTTTAGCGTTATTTTGTGCTTGTAAATTATAATGCATGCATACGGAACTTTCTGAACCTATAATCGGCATGTTTAGAATTCATTCAGTGTTACTAGATATTGCTGTATTCTTTTGGGTTAAAATTCAATGAGATTTTGATAATCGATGATTTTTAATTAAGCACTTTAATAACGACCTACGAATATGTGAGAATTTGTTATTTAATTTTTAATTAATGATTATAGATTACATTTTATTCTTTATGTGAGCTCGATTCTTGGAAGACCCACGTCAAACTTGTTTTTTTTGGTAAATGACCCACGTCAAACTTTATGGGCCAAAGTCAGCACCGATTTCTAATTCTGTGCGGACTAGTATAATTCCAGGGAAGGTTACAAGGGACACCACTACTCCACTAGGATATAATTAATAATTAGGGAGAGGTTATATTTATGCAATTAATTAAATTTACCCCCTCTTATTATTTCCCTTATAATTATTAGATTAAGACCAAATCAATGGTTATTATTTTATTCAAATCTCCTTTCTCTCTCTTTAGTGACTATTTCTCCCCCTTTCCACTTCAATCCAGAGATAATAAGATAGTGATAAATATAATCTCTCTTAATAATTAATATTATTTATATACGGATCTTTTTGTCTTCTCTCCTAACAATGCGTCATGTACGCCTCACATTATGAGTCAGTTCCCATGAAAAAATCTCCCTTTTTTTAAGCTCAACACATAGAATAGCATTGTCTAGCCCTTCGCTATTCATGGGATTGCAGTTAGTTATCTATGAAGTAGGAGTATCCACCTATTCAAAGATCTTGAGCAAATCTCACAATACCTCCACATCCAGCCTTATGAGTAGAGCCCTTCGCAGCCCCATTAACGTTAAGCTTGACCCAACATTCCCCCGGGGGTTGCCATTTTCTCCTTAAATTGCATGGAGCACTATATGTAAGTGAAAGGATAGGGGTGGGAAAGAAAGCGAAATTTTGAATGGACAGTTGGGTGTTGTCTCATACATGGCTTCTTGATCTTGCTAACAGGCCCAATGGAACTTAATTTGGTCAATTTGCTAGATAGTTTTCACAAAGTTATTTTGATAATATTTTTTGGGAATAGTTATATTTATAAATTTTTTGTTTATACATTACACTATGTCTGACTGGTTAGACTTACTATAATTTATAAAAAAAGTTGGTAAACGGATCGTTTTCTATATTTTTTTATATGAAGTCATGAAAATTGGTTTGGTTTTAAAAATTATCTTAAAAAAATTAGTTATTTACTAGAGCTGGCAAAATTGAGACAGGATACATTGGTTCACATCTTAAAAATGATTTGTAAATATTAATTCATTCCATTTTAGGGTGATTAGGTGGGTCAACCCACATAAATAATAATAAAAATTTAAAACTTAAAAATGAATTTGAATCTGATTTTACGATATCTAGAGTATTATCTAATTCCCAACCCACATTTCCGTTGATTTTTTCAATCCAACTCAAATATAATTTATGCATCTCAAATTCAGATACAATGTGACATGCAATATCAGAATATAAAATATAATCGCGTCCATAGGGTGGGTAGCCCTTCTGAAAACAGAAGGCAAGAAAAAAAAAATCAATATTTGGATATAAAAAGAAGTCATAGATAACTGAATTACCATAAGTGCAAAGACAGTTCTTTGACTTAAAACTTATATATCTATCTAGGTAACAAATTCTTTTTTTATTTTAACAGACACCAAAAGTTTGTTAAGTATCTACTCATCCAAAAATTTAAGATGTGCGCACATCCAAATAGAGTTTTTATCTGTAACAAGGTTCAATCATCAATTGTATGTAGAATTTACCATGCCATATTACTCATCAAATCTGTCAAGCTCTGCCATGAGTCCATAAACTAGTGTATAAAGTGAAGATAAATGAGAGTAGCGATGTTGTTTTCAAATTTAATTACTGATTAATTTTGATCAGACCAAATCTATATAACTGGGTCGATCATGTGATCTTCCTCTACACAAAGGCCTGGAACCTCCTTGGGTCAGAGCATCTTGTAGTTTGGAGTTTAGAGCAGCTTTAACACATGGGTCTTCTATGGAACGCGATGAGGGATGTACATGCAAGACACTCCGACGCTCAAGTCAGTTATGGTTCAAGCAGGTTTAATTATGTAGGAGAAGATATGTACCTTTGTGTTAATAGGTATGTATTTATAGTGGAGAGATGAGCAGCTTGGGGAGATGTTACTTAGTGATCAAGTTTGCTTTGTCTTGGAGGCAAAGTAATAGAGCTGTCATGTTTAATGTTGAGGAGCTTTGATGAGATAAGGCCATTAATATTATGCAGCTTGATGACTGTCATGGAGCTTGCTGTCTGTCATGGTACTTTTAATATTATGGAGCTTGCAGCCTTCTTGGACTAAGGTTTTGCTTCATTGTGAAGGCTTTAATTTTGGGCCTTGTATTTGTATAATATTTATCCAGATCAAATTTTATTTGAGCATCATCGAACCCATTATAGGGTTTTTTTTTTTCTTTCAAAGTTATGTTTTTAATTCTTAGGGCTCAAAACTAGAAATATTTGGTTAGGGAAACAAGTTTCTTATCACGTAATGGCAGAGGTGGATTTAGGGGGCTAGGGTGGGCCATCGCCCCCCTCCCCCCAATTTAAAGAATTTTTTTAATATATATATTAAATAGAATTGTAGTAATATTATTAAATTATTTGTTTTAAAAATTGTATGATATAAAATTATTCTCCATGACACCATAAGATATCACACTACACTCAATCATAGTCCCATTTGCATTCCCGTGGAAAAAACCTCCCTCTCTCTCTCTCTCTCTCAATTTTAACAAATCTTCTCAAGTCTCTCACTATCTCTACTTTTTTTCTATGAATTAACAATGCTACTATTATTTGATTGTTTTGTTTCGAAATCCATTTATATCATCCCATGTTTTGAATGTTTTGTTTCGACTCATTATCTTCCATTGATTAACATTTTTTTATACCGACGTTCGGTGCGTTAATGTTTTTTAACGCTTCAATGTTTCATTAAGGATTACTTTTCAAACGGAAAGAATAAATTGTGTTGGACAAATAAATTAAAAATAAATAAATCAAAACTCAAGGTGAAATACAAGAGCATAACAACATATTTATTGGGGACTTGTAATATTTCAAATTTTTAAATGCTTCATTTACTCAACTGTTCGAGTATTTTTTTTTAGTCTGTATTTTCTTATTTTTTGGACTCTGAGATCTAGAAGTGTTTACTTTTCAATGTTGGTTAGCTTGCTGGAGTGTTGTTCTACAATATATCTTGATGATAGTGTTGTTCTACAATATATCTTGATGATTATATTTGAATAATATTACTAGACTCAACATTTTCTGGATCTGTTTTTATTGTAGATAGATTTAACAATACGAAAATACGTAGAGTAAGAGTCAAGTGAAATGATCTTAATTTCTGTTATAAATTTCTTTTAACTTTTTGCATATTAAATCTGTATTGTATTTGAAGTACTTTTATTTATGTAGAGGTATTTTTATTTTTCATCTCCTCTTAATAAAATTTATGCGTCCGCCACTGCGTAATGGTTGTAGGTTCAATCAATATATGTTAACATATCTTATTTTCTCTTTGCAATAACAAGAACAAGAGTAATAGATATTCTTTTTTGCCTTCATATTTGGATAACATTCTCCATATATCAAGTGATTTATACTCATGTACCCAAAAAAAAAAAAAATGCTCTACTCTACATCATTTCTAGAGGAGGAGCGAGAAAAAAATATTTGATATTATAAAAGTTTTACATGACAAATGAAACATATTTGTCACCTAATATTAAAATTCTTTTTTTTTTTTTTTTTGGTAAAGATATTAAAATTCTTTTTACTTGCAAACTGACTTGCCTACTTATGAGTTAACCCATTTTAACCTGTTTTTATATGAGAAGGGTTGATGAATTTAATCGACTGACCCGATGGATTAGACCATTTTGTCCTCTCTACTGTTTTGTTCATAGTATATATTTTTTTATTCACTGTAAAGGGGCGATTGGTATGTGAGATTCTTTAAAAATTTCGAGAAATTGAATTTTTTAAAATTTTAAATTTAAGGATATTATCATAAACTAAAGGTAAAAATCATATTTTTAAAAATTAAAATTCCCGACTAAATTTTTTTTTTTCCTGTACCAAACGCCCCGAGTGCCAAGTAGGCAACTCTGAATCCGAGTCATATTGATCTTACAACTTGATATAAAATTTCGTTAATTCCGATCCTATTCTAACTTTATAAATTTCAAAGTTGGTTTTAAGTTTTTTTTTTTTTTTTTTTTTTTTAAATAACTCAATTCATTAGATAAATAACGCTAGCATGCATCCCCTCTTCGCGTCACAACCTTCCCCTCTCACTTTTAACTATACTGGGCAAAATGAAAATAAAAATAAAGGCATATTTCCCTTATTTCGTATTTTGATTAACAGTCTTTTTTTTCTTTCAAAAATATATATCTAAACGTCAACATAATATAAATCTCTTATATTTTGTGTGCAAATAATAATAATAATTTTAATTTTAAGATTTTAAAAAAATGTTTGTGTAGTTTTATTAAACCCTAAAGAAATTAATGTAATTTAACAAAATGAATTTTTTTAATAGTTTTAAGAAAATTGAAGGATGAAGAATGCAACTTTATAAACTTAAAAATTGTGAGAATGACAATAATAATTTTTTAAGGTTTAAATTTTGATAAGCAGATATATATAGTGAGTAAGTGATTGCATAAAACTTCAATTCGTGTGTCATGGTGAGTAACTGTATGAATCTTGTTAGCAATGGAAATTAAATATGGAGCATTTAATAATGCTCATTTACAACTCCTTTTTATTTAATAATTTAAGTTTCATTTTTCAATTTCTCTTTTAATTGAAAATTAATAAAAGGAAAAATAAATAAATAAATCATTAATCATGGGATTTATATAGGTGATAGGAAATCACGTGATAGGAATATATCTGTAAATGAATATATTAATATCATCACGTTATTGAATAATAAGATCAGAATCTAACAACTATGCTTTATTATATGAGATTATATTTTCTCATGCAACAACAGGAGATATTTATCTTATGTTGCACTCACAATTTTATGTGGGTCTTATTACACGAAAGAAGAGAAAGAAAAATTAAAATAAAACTCATATCTTTTTGAGTGTGTAGCAAAGAGTTGTTGTCTCATGTGACATGAGATTAATATTTTCTTTGTTATATATTAATCTCTACAAAAGAATATTTAATAGAGACACACACTCTCTTTCTCTCTCTTGATGAGCTATATATATACAATACATATAGTTGATTGATTGAGAAAGGTACAACATACGAAGGAGGGGAGGCCATTTCATTGATGAGAGATTATTGTTGTTGTCGTTTCTGATTCTGAACGAACGAGGGAAGAGAGAGAAAGTGAAAGAGATGTCACGGGAAAAGGTGTATGTGCAGCACTGTATGGGCGTTAATGGGTTAGAGAAGATCATTCTTAGAGAAGATCGTGGTTTCTCTGCTGAGGTATCATTATCATTATCATTATCATTATCAATTCAAAATAATGCTTTTCTAATTCTCTTCTCTTTTTTCCTTTTATTAATTCCATTCTCTACCATTTGCAATTTGCGTTGCGTTGCGATCACCCCATACATACACATACCTACATGCTTCTGAATCTATCCATACCATACCCCTAATTGCATTTTCACATTTCACATTTCACATTTGATTTGATGGCTATTCTCTCATCTCACACACCACCTATTTTTAATTTAAGATCCTTAAATGTAGCATCAATTTCTTGTTCCTATTAATTTGCAATGACATAATCATGTAATAATAATAATAATATAATACCCAATCATTAGAATGAATTTTGTTATATGCCTTGTGTTTCATGCAGGTGTATCTATACGGAGGTCAGGTTACATCCTGGAAGAATGAACTTGGTGAAGATTTGCTCTTTGTCAGTAGTAAGGTGAGCAACTACAGAGTCATCGTGCAGAATTTATGTTGGTTTGAGGTTTCATTGACATATGGATCTTCCCGGGACTTGGTTGTAGTTTTCTGTAAATCATGGTCTGGTTTTAGTTTTATACCAATGCTATAGTATTATAATGTGGGGTGGAATTTGATGAATAGTTTTTGGAAACATGAATGCACTTATATCCTGATTGATATTCAAGCATATAAGTATTGGCTTGCCAATTGTGGCAAAATATGCTCGATGGGTTAAACTCTAAAATGAATCAATATATATGGTATTTGTAGTTGATAAATATATTGCCTTCAGCCAAGTACAAGCTGATACATAAAGTTGGTGACTTTTTCCTTTTGGAAAATTTTTCTTTTTTATGATGAAGGTGGGCATATGCATGTTTTCATAGTAGATGTAGAGACTGACAGAAAGACAGATGCAAGAATTGTTAGATATTGGAGAGAAAAAGAGAGGGATGAAGGGAGCAAAGCTGTTGCGATTTATATAAGTTTGTGACATTGGATATAGACAAGCCTCGATAGAATGCTGTCAGGCAGCTAATTTTAGAAGTTGATTGAATTCTATTCATCATTAGTCTGGCTTTAATACGGTTTGATATTTGTCGATAAGTTCAACTTGTCACTAAACCCTGCACGGCTCTTTCCTTCTGTTTGGGTCTTTGAGATTTATCACTTCTTTTTTACATGAATCACTGCAGGCTAACTTTAAGCCTCCAAATTCTATACGTGGAGGCATTCCAATATGCTTTCCTCAAGTACGTGTATCTTCTTGCTTCTTTATTTTCATCCCATTTAGTTTGTTTCTTTAAGTACTTCTTATTCATATGCAGTTTTCAAATTATGGCTCTCTTGAACAACATGGATTTGCAAGGAACAGGTTTTGGACTTTAGATCCTAATCCCCCACCATTTCCTACAAATAACACCAACAGAGCTTTCATTGATTTGATTCTTAAACACTCTGAAGATTATCCTAAGCACTGGCCGCACAGGTATATGACTTAAATAATTACTAATGTAACTGTCAAAAAGGGAGCTTAATATTCTCACACCCTTTCAGTCTCTCTTTCTGTTTCACTTCTTTCTTTATCTTCTGGTTTATTAACTTGGATTAAGGGAATATTTTATATCAACTGCTTGCAGATATGAGTTTCGCCTGAGGATAGCTTTGGGACCAGCAGGAGATTTGATGATGACATCCCGCATTCGAAATACAAATACAGATGGGAAATCCTTTACCTTCACATTTGCCTATCATACATACTTCTATGTTAAGGACATCAGGTTTTATCATGCCCTTGGATACTTTTGTTTTTTTCTGTAATATATTCCTCCTTAGCTTAGGACACCTGCCTGTTGTGCTGTCCCCATTGCATTTGTGTCCCTGCAGTGGCTGCAGAATACCCGCTCATGTACCTAACATAAATACACAACCACAATCTCATGTGTCCTAATCATTTGAATTAGGACACACATGACTCAAACATTTGTAGTTGTTTCTGCACAAGCTAATTGAATCATAATATGTGGCATGTCCACATTCAATACTATTATAAATTTTTAATTTAAGTTAAACAAAATATCATATCGGCTCAACTTCAATGGAGTAATAGATGGCACCAACAATGCTCCATCTTTCAATTGGTTGAATCATTTCTATTAAGACACAAAGCACTAATCCTTGTGTTTCATTATTTAAGTTCTATAGCATATGATTTAGAAGGCTTTTTCAGCCCTGCCAATTAAAGTTGATCATATCTGCGATCCTCATGCTCTATATATTTTTCCCATCCAAGTGATATGAATATTCTAATCAACTTTCAGTCAAGTGATATATGGCATTGCTCTTGCCTCATTCTCTCTTTAAATAAGTTTGCTCATTGCTTATTAAAGTATACACTATCACAATTTACCAAAAAAAAAAAGTATACAATATCACATATTGTTGTAGGATGCAGGAAATGGATGTATAACGGATGACTTTTTTTTTTCAAAATAAATAATTAAAATTTTGATATCTATGAAAAGGAAAAAGCAAATCATGGGTAAAATATGGGTATATTTTACTTTTATGAACTTTTGGAAACTCGGAATCTTAATTTATGTTTGAATACAAACACCAGATGCTTAACATATTCTTAAAAAATGATGCTTAACTCTGAAACATTTTCGACCAACATATGAAGCTACCTATTAGAAATATAATATTATATATAAAATCAATCATTTTCTTTAGTCTAACAACTTAAGCTTTTGGGAGAGTTGGTTACTTTACTTAATATCATAGCATCTGTGACCAAGTAGTCTATAGTTCGATCCTTGCCACTTCCCATTCTTATAATAATCTTCTAATTAATCTTATGAAATTTCTTAGCATAGGTGGTTGGGTTTGAACCATAGTAGTTAATTGCGCCGCAATAGCGCCGCGAGCCGCGCCGTATGGGCGTTGCGGTGCCTCGCCGCAAGAAACCGCGCCGCATTGGAACACAATAGCGGCCATTGCGATCGCATTTGCAGCCATATTGCTATCATAAGGAAAAATGTCAATTTTATCCTAAATTTAAATGTGTAACAGAAAAAATTTAAGGAATTTTTAGTCTATCCGTGTCTCTCTCTATCACTTATGCTATCTCTAACTTTAAAAAATGTTTCTTTTTGTCATTATTTCTGTCATTTATCTATTCCGCTATTTCCGGAACCGCAACCCGCTATAACGCTATAGCATTTTCGGGGTTGGCCGCGACATGCCGCAATCCGCATTTGATAACTATGGTTTGAACATTGTTTACCCTTGAAGTCCAATCAACTCTTGTATGAGGGGGAGTATTTCAAATATAATATATAAAACCAGTTATCTGCCTTTATCTAACAATTTAAGCCTTTGGGAGAGTTGTTGCTTGACATATTGCCATCTATTCTAATATGTAACAGAATTGTTTTCTGACTATTGCTGTTTGCATTTGGCCTTATCTAATGTCATAACAGAATTGCATTGCTCTGGGATTTGTGATTTCAACTGTTTGTAAGCTAACAGTAAATTTGCTTATGTTCAGTGAAGTGCGAATAGAAGGACTAGAGACACTGGATTATCTGGACAACTTGAAGAACAGAGAGCGGTCTACTGAACAAGGAGATGCTATAACATTTGAGTCAGAGGTTGGTATCTGTGATCAGCGGAGCAGTTGCTCGTGTTGTTTATATTTTACTGGTTCACTATGTAACTGTTGCATTTTGATTTCTTTGACGCTGAAGGTGGACAGAGTATACTTAAGCACCCCCACAAAAATTGCCATCATAGACCATGAAAGGAAGAGAACTTTTGTATTGCGGAAAGACGGGCTTCCTGATGCTGGTGAGTTTTAAAAGTATTAACATCCTTCCTTATGTACACAAGGATCGTGATGAGATATGATATGAGATGATGAAGGTGTAGAGTGGAAGGGTCGGAAAAGTGAATGATCAAGTATCCGTACAGCTTTTTTTTTATATTAATGGGTACATATATTTGCAAATCATTTGCCCTATGCATGGGTGCATGGTCCCCTCATATAAAATGAACAAACCCTTCGGTAAATCTAATTTCATTGAAGTTGTTCCTCAGGGTTGGTTTTCATGAAGTTATATGCATGACTTGTTCATATTCTGTATTGAAATATTGAATATATATCTACCCGAGCTGCTATTGTGGAGACTTGGGATGTTTGTGGTATGGCATTCGAAACAAGTTTTTCCCAGTGTTTAATATTAGTGTTATTTTTCTGTGCAGTGGTATGGAACCCGTGGGACAAGAAAGCAAAGACCATAGCTGATTTTGGGGATAATGAGTACAAACATATGCTGTGTGTCCAGGCTGCCTGTGTAGAAAAAGCAATTACTCTCAAACCTGGAGAAGAGTGGAAAGGAAGGCAGGAAATATCTGCAGTACCTTCAAGTTATTGCAGTGGTCAACTCGATCCACGGAAAGTACTATTCAGTTATTAGAAGAATAATGGGTTCCAATGCGCCTTTGTACAGGTACTTCAGTGAAAATCTTGATGGATTACCAAAGTTATATCAGATTAGTATGAATTTTATGAGACAACGTGTGGTGCTGATTTTATTCCATTGGTGGGATTTTGTGTGAAACTTGCCTTATAAAAGTTACTTTACGGTGTAAGATTAATTTTAGTTCACATCTATGCCAATGAAACCCTATATATAAAATGAAATGCAAGGTTTACTTATGTTCTTAGTGAGAGGTGTTCAGTCCCGTGGAGTTTTCAATTTACGTTTGTGGGTTCTGAGTTGTATCATGAATGTGATTATTCCAGTGATTTAATTTTTTTTTTAAAAAAATATTTCTTCTGTACAAAAAAAAATTATATATATATATTTCTTCTGACTTACTGTAGAAAGACAACTTTAACCAGAGCTCACGTTTGTCTGACCATATTTATTCTTTGAGTGCAAGAAAATTGTGAATTGGTTTGAATCAGTAAGTTAATAATATCGACTGGAAGAAAATTTTCAATCTATAATTGCAGTATGCTTCACTAATCCCTTTTTTTTACTGAATCAGGCTTGATGCAGTTAAGTGTATTTCTTGTAGGAACTGTTGTTGCGATAATGGTGCATTCAGTGAATTCTTGTCCGGATTCTCTTCAGCTTTGAGGGCGGATTCATAATTAACAAAATTGTCTATATCGTTTTAGCCTTGAGTATGTTCAGTTGCTTGAGCTAGAGATGAAGAGAGCCGCTGGAAAAGAACTTCCTATTTTTAGGTCTGCACAACTTTTTCCATTAGGAACGCATATATATTCTTTTTAAAGTTTAAACACCCCAGTTAATAATAGTTTGTTGCATTTTTTCCTCTTTATTTTTTTAACCTTATTTCACCTTTTTAGAAAACATTTCTTGTTTTTTCTTGATACAAAATGCCTTGAGCAGGAGCAGGAGCAGTCTATGCTATGCAGTTTAAGGGATTATTTTCTAAAGGCACTTACTTTCTCTGCCCCTCCTTCCTTGACCCTTGGAAGGACTTCATTCAATCACATTTTTATAATTATTTATTTACTTTTGGTAACCTTCGAGGGGCTAAGCCCCTAAGAAACTTAAAACAGAATGGGGGCATAGGCAACCAGGTCAAATTATTATTTACAAATAGAACCACACCCTCTATGCAGATGAAACCTCATTATTATTGGACTTGGACCATACAAAGATCCTCCAGAATGGCTGTTGGTTGCGCTTATGGTGGTTGTCTATATGCTCACTTTCTGTTCTTCTTAGCATTTCCCACATTACTTGTACGTCTTGATACTCACAAGTCTGTACATCATCCTGCAGCTTCAACAGCCCTGCCCCTGCACCAACCAAACACCACCTTCTTGTTAATTAATAACAATTATCCCTTTGAGATGCATACATCCTATTGCTTATTGACCGTCACTAGAATATAATTATCTATATACTATTTCAGATCCTTTTCATTTGTATAAAGTGTTCAAGTATAAGCCAAGTTTATGATAAGCATATAACAACTAACCCGTAGTGTTCCCGTCACCAAGTTTAGGCCGCCGTTATAAAAAAAAGAGGTAATTTTATAAACAAAGGCTTGTTATATCCTTAAAATAAGCAACCTATTGTTTAATAAAGATTGTATTGGATGAAAAAGTCAATGCATTTACTATCTAGGAACATAAAAAATAATATTCAATACTCTTATCTTGAAAATGAGAATATAGAATATAGAATTATTTATCTTCAGGCCATAGCCATTACTAAAGTGAGGGGATATAAACTGGCACCGAAAGAGATGTGAATCGTATTCTATGACTCCTCTTTCGGTGCCACAGCAGATCAAATTACTGCTTTACCGTTTGTATGTCAAGACTTGTATTCAAATTAAAAACAGATCAGAGATTCCTAGTTTAGAGCAAGAGAATTCTCCTGCTCTTTATATACCATATAAGTATTGTCTCAAATGACATTTTTAATGTAATAGCTAAATTGGTACCCTTTGAATGATCAAGAGCAAGAGATGGAACACTAAGAATTTATATGGGAAACAGCAGGGGTGGCTAAAATTATGTTATTAAAATCTGTGTCCATGATGTATTAAGGTATGTTGGTGCAGTAATAGAAGTATAATTTATGTGTGTGTGTTTTTCCCATAAACAGACTTCTCAGTCCTGATAAAAACCGTTGCATAGAAAAGCGACTTTAAAGAAAAGAAGTGGAAAGAAAAGAAGCAATGTTTTTTAATTTTTATAGTGGCTGAATAAAGTACATTTGAGGGCATGGATTGAAGGGAGAAAAAGAAGTGGCCTCCACACAAGAATTGGATTTGTAACATGAAATTTTGCATACAATAAAAGTTAAAAGGGGCAAAATTATAGCAATTTAACTTTGTGCGGAACATTGGATAAAAAGAGGAAGAAGAAATGGCTTGCTTATATTTGAGAAAAGAAGAAAAACTAAAAATTGTTTTTCGAGCTATTTCCAGTTTTTCATGGATGACTAATTGAGCAATAGTGAGGATTGATTGAGAGAGAGAGAGAGAGAGAGAGAGAGAGAGAGAGAGAGTACACACCACTTTTGTGAGGCTTGAGGCGTGTAGAGAGTGCAAGCCAGACTCGCTTCACAGGAGCAATCATTTTGTGCCAAATATCCATCACCATTTCCTCTTCCTCTTCCTCAACAGAACACTATCTATCAGTTTGAACTTTGAATAGGATGACTTGTATTGTATTATTCATCACACTCTTTGTTGGGTAAGTAAGTAAGTATATATTAAATCTTTCTCTCTATCTTGATTCACATATCAATTATATCACACCACTCTTGAATTGATTGGATAAAAGAAAAAGAGACACACTCAAACACAACACACACCCCTACTGTGAATGAGTGAGTTTGTGTTCTGCGACAGACACCCAATGACCTCTCAAACGTAACAATGCTTGTTCCCTATACACCCACTACCACACCTTTCACATTTCAGATCACCGACGCTTTATGCTTAATTATTATTATTATTATTATTATTATTATTATTGTTGTTGTTGTTGGTATATCCATTTATTCTTTATTTTGGGATCCTATTCCAACGCTTGCTCTTATATTTGTTTCACTTTCACTTTCACATATCATTCATGATTAATTTATCTTTTAATAATATAAATATTAATTAATGTGAATAAATTCTACACTCATTCCATATATGATTTATGCATTCACTTTATTCAACTTGCCGTATCATTTGCAAAGTATAGAATATTCTTTTCATTGATTATTCTTAAATCCACTATAATGCAACAATTGATCCATAATCTCTACTACATGGGCATGGCTCCCTTTTATTCGAAAATTCAATTTACAAAATTATGCCTAAAAGTCAAATTGTGTACAACTTTTTTTTCTCTTTTAATTGCCAAAAACAAAACAAACACGTGTTTGAAACTCTGCGGTTATGAGTTCTGATATTGATACCCTTTTTGGTTTTTAGCTATTCAATCCTGCCAGCCAAAAAGTTTCACGTTGACACTTGTCTCACCATCAAGATCTTTCTCAAACAAAGTAACAAGCAATTATTCAAATATCATTAATATCAAAATAAAATGGGAGTGGATCCTCTCATGTGCTAATTAATATGACCATGTCATGTGGGGCAATCATAATCATACATAAGTGAGTTAATGGTGATAAAGGAGGAGAAAAAAATATAAGGATAAGAAGTTACATAATCACCGTTGATTTAATTATTAATGGTTAAGATCCTTTCACATGACATGATCATATTTCTAAATAAAATAAAAACTAAAAGAATCAGAAGACAGCTTTTCACACTTTCTCTCCTCTTGTTTAGCAAGGGGCGAATTAATTATTTGAATAAGCTTTTATTTTTTTATTTTTTTAACATATTTGAATACATTTTTACATGTAACCAAATTAATAAATTTGTCTCAGTATATTTATAAATTTTTTATTTACAAATTTAATTATGTCTCAAAATACAAATATTTAAATGGGAAAACTTCAAAAATTCTCTTACGAGTTTTCTTAATTATCACTTACCCATTCACAATTTTTTTGAATCATTTACATTTTTATTTAAATTTTTTTATTATTTATTCCTTTGACCTAAAGTTTCTTTATCACTTACCCCCTCACTTAGGGGAGGTCAATGATAAAAAACTTTAAATCAGAGGATAAATGATTCAAATTTTTAGGCGGAGATAAATGATTATGAAGAAAATAATAGGGTTTTTTTTTTTAAGTTTTCCCATATTTAAATGTGTATTTCTCGTAATATAAAGTTGAGTTCATAAATAAAAAATTTATAAATATAACTTTTTTTTTCTTTATGTAAACATAATAATAATAAGTGGCAGTATCTTTTAATGCTAGTGTTTTAATTTGACATTAAAATTTAACGGTTGATTTTGTGAATCTTACTGTTATAATTTATTATGTCATATTTTTTATTTAATTATTAATTTTTAAAAAATTATAATAATTAAATTGACGAAAATTAAATGTTAAATTTTTTTTAATTAATATCCGTATCCTAATAATAATATTATTAAATTAGTAATAACTCGTGGAGTGGTGTCGGCGAAGTTTAGTGTTTTGGTCAATAATGAAGCAAACGTTGAATCGACCAAACACGGGAAGCTTTTGGTCTTCTCATGAATGCTTTTTCTAAAACCGGGAAACCAAACAAGCCCTTACACGGATGCTCATTTTGAATTTTTATTTTATTTTTTAAAGATGGGTTTTAATTGATTCAATTTCATTTCATTTCTTGAAAACTTGAAATTAGGTTGATTGTTGGTTAAATTTAGGAATGAAATGGTTTTTGCATGTCATATTCTTGTATTGTTCTTCTGTAGTGATAAGGCATCACTTGTAGACTACGTGTTCAGGAAAGTGTAAAAGAATTACAGATAAATTATATTGGATTCTAACTTGTGGAATTCTTAGCTAATAATTCTGTAGTTAGAAAAAAAGAAATAGTGTTAACTTGATTTTATAAAAGGACACCCCTCATTTTGAGGAATTCTTTAGGGTTGGTGGTAGTTGAAGAATGAGACTGAGAGTGAGAGGAATGGTGAGTGAGTCACTTTTGGCATGCTTTTCGAGTCTTTCATCACCTAATCAATCCTAACAAATCGTCGGTTACCAGTCATGAATAAAAAATAAAAAAATTGCACCAAAATAAAAATAACAATAACAAACGTTAATGATTGTTAATTGAGAAGAATCTGCTGTAAACTCTTTTTATAAATTACATTAAATATATGATCGGTCATACTCTTTTGATTGAAGTATGACCGATTAGATATAATATAACTTGTAAAAGTTTATAAACAAAAAATTTATAAATATAACTTTTTCATTATTAATTGTCACGGATATAATATCACTTTTCGTGCTGTCTTTTTATTGTCCAATACAACGTTGGCCTACTTATCTCACAAATCTACTTCTTTATGCTTTGTCGATTTCCATCAGGATATTCAATATTGAGTGGACTTTGCTCCTATCAAGCAAAAGATGCATTTTAAAAATATATAAAATAATAGAATAATTAAACAAACAACTAGATAAATTTTAATAACTTTTTGATTTATTATATAAGTAGATGGGAGAGGAAGTTTAACAAATCTTATAGCCTCAATAATTAAAAAATTAGAATCATTAAATATAAATAAGATTAATGATTGATAATAGGCATAAAACTTACACGTTACACCTTTGTCAATCCTTCCTGTAAATAT